TTAGCTTACTCCGCTAACGTGCGATACCTTTATTTTAAGTCAACACGCTAGAAAACGGGTCAGACAAGCAGATGCTATTCAATCAATTAAAACTGCTGCTTACAAATTGGAAGCCAAAGAAATTCCTTAGCTTGTATTTTCTGTCATTTTGCAAAAACATACCTGGGTGACAAGGTTAAATCAAGCAAAGGAAATCCCTGGCACTTATCATCCACAGGCATTACTGATAAATTGTGCAGTGGAGGAATAAAGGATTACCTTCTGTATTTTTTCATTACACTTTTCTTTTGTTACAGAATACATAAATCCATTGTGGCACAATGTAATATGTATCATCGTGCTACACCTGTGGACGTTTCATAGCGGCTGCCATGTCTGTGCAGTCAGGAATGATAAGTGAACCACCCGTGAATGTTAATGATAGTGATCATTCTGCGGTAACTTGGCTTTCCATCTTCTTTTACAGCCTCAGCGTTGGAGCCAGGGTGGCAAGGTTCAGAGGAGGAAAACGAAAACAGGAGAGGCAAGGGCTTCAGCGGGCTGTCGCCGGGGTGTTGCCTGGGGGGAAGGTGCTCAGAGGCGGCACGGAAACAGGCAGTGTCCTCTCCGTGGGCTCCGTTCATGTAACAAAATAAAACCCCAACATTTAAAGGACAAAAGGCTTCTGTTCGAAATGAGAAACAGAGTTTTCCAAAAGCCACCTTTCCAATCTGGACCAATTTTTTTAATGTTAAATTTTTCCTTTTTTTTTTTTTTTTTTAAATACTGAAGTGGAATTTATAGCACTTAGAGCTTGATGCAAAAAATGGTTGGCATGGTTCAAAGTGTCTGTGAATGACTAATAACGATTTCCACTTGATCAGCACAAAGTCAGAGCTAAGACTGAAAATCCCTGTTGACGCAATGTACTTAACTTAAGCTGGGCAATTTTTAAGATAAAGTGCACAGTGATATGAACCAGAATAACGATGCCAGCCAAAATTTTTATTCTGAGCCTAAATGATCTTGCTTTTGTGCATCTCAGGTTAGCCTTGGATAACTCTATGCACTCCTGGGTTTAATTGGCTATATTTTGACACTACTATAAGCTATCATTAGAATCTTACAAGTCAGCTTCCTGCTCCGACTCCTTTCTTAGGGTCCTACTCTCCCTATTCACTACCCTGGGAGCCTTCCTTCTTAACTTCAGCACCTACGTTAACTTTCTGAAATTTGCATTTTATGAATATTCTAAAATATGCTTTGTAGATTACCTACACCCATGTAAAAACTGATAATGGGCCTTTTGGGGAGCCCTTCTGTAATCTAAGTAAAAAACACATTTCAAAGCTTTGAACTGAATTTGGAAATGTACTATGAAAGCCTGATATTTTAAAAGTGTTTCAAACCCTACTCTATCAGGTATAGCAGAGGCGCTGCTTAGAAAAATACATATATAATAGGCAAAGCAATTTAAACATGGTATCAAAACAAAAAAGTGCTACAGAGCAGAGGAACTGTATGCCAAATTTCATCTGTGCGCCAACTGGCAGCTGAGCTACAACTCCTAGAAATGCCATTAGATCGAGTATGTCAAGTCGTGATAATAAAATTTCCAAGGGAAAAAACCCCTAATGATAGTACAGATTTATTGTGGGCTACCTTCGCTCAGAGTTCTTCAGGTATTACTTCATCATCTCGAGAAGTCTGCATTTACATGAATGCAGTGCTTTGTTTGACTCCTCCTGACAAATCATACTCGACATCAAAGCGGGCTGTTTGCGAATGCCGTATTTGACATTGGACAAAGTACTCCTTTCCACAACAGACATTTTCCAAAAACACAACTCGCTAGACTAATGGGCAGTTAGAAGCCAGAATGACTGCCCTCCGTCTTCTCCTTGTGTAACTTTGCCAGAGTCCTTGGAACTTGCCAAATTCGGTCATGCCTGCTTAGCTTGCTCGACTGATTGTGCCAGAAAAGAAAATAAGACACAGATGTATTTGAGCTCTTTGAGATGCCAGTAAGAGAGACAGCTAATGGCTTCATTTCGACCCTCCCCTACCAGCTGGGCACAGGTGGGGGGATAATGAGGTCCCTCTCCCTAATCAAACTCAATTATTTACTACTCTATATAGCCACAAAGACATTCACATTCAGCTCAGAATATAAAATGCACTGTGGGCTACTTCAAACCACCACCACTGGGTATTTATAACTAACTCAAGTGGCTAAGAGTTTGCCTTGGCAGGAGTTTAAGTGTATGAAGTTCTGCAAACTGTTGCTGAAACAGGGTCCCCGGCAAGGTTCCATAAGTGTCAGCTCAGTAACTGCACAACATCTGAAAATATATCCAATATGCAGGACGGGTGAGATCTGAAATAAAACACCATGCTTCATCGTGAAGCTTCTCAGAAGCATCAACTTTTTTCAACAGTGATTCAATATTAATAAACATTACAAATCACAAGCCTGACACAGCAGCAGCTGAAATACTTCAGCATGAGGAGCAAAAAAACAGATGCAAAATATAAAAACACAGTTACATGCACTAGCAGGATGACAAGGAAGGAAGGAAGATGTCGAATTTACAGCAAATCCCTACAAAAAATAAGACAGCACGCACATTTAAACTCACGGTAGTAACAAACTTTTGATCAAGTGATGATCGAGTAATTCTCTATTCTAGGGGACACATTAAAAATGCTAACTTAAATCTAACCATTTACAAATAACTATTTACAAATAACTATTTACACCGGAAGAACAAGCAATTTCAAATTAGGACGTGCACACGCACAAAAATAACCTCCTCTCTGAAAAGCACTGCTGCTGCTGATGCAGTTGTCCTATTTCTAATCAGCGGGACCTCCCAAGTTAGAAGGCAAGCCCTCACATGAGCACAAATTATGTTAAAGCAGAAGGTTTCACATTTCTTTTGCAGGATTCGCAGCTGGACCTCAATCCTGCTGCAAGCACCAGTCAGAGAACTGCTGGCCAGCCCAGGGTCCTGCTGAGGTCTCCAGGCTCCACACAGGAACACCAGCTCCACCTCCTCCGAGCTAACGCCCCAAATCTGAGACCTCATGTCTTCATTGCATTTAAATACTAATCCCTATTTACGTACTGAGTACAGGCAATGGGGATTTAGGTAGGGGGCAGTTGAGAAAGAAAGGGGACTTCTTCCAGCTGAGAAATTGTCAACAATTTAGAATCTTCTAATGATACAGGCTTCTTAAGTGGTCTACCTGCAATGAACACTCGTGATCCTTTTTGATTGCATGGAATTAGAATAGAATTTTCTATATACCCGCTGGAATTTTCCCAGGATACTGATAATGCAGGATTATCTTGAAGATAGAACAATCATAGATCAATAAAATTAAAAAAAAATCAAATCCATGGCAATGGCATTGACTCTAGAGAAATGCATGCAAGCAAAAGAGCTATTCCCTCTTTCAGATAAAACAGGCAGCATTCTTCAGTCAGGTGGGAGGAACTAAACATTCTGCAATTCCACAGATGGAATTGTTGCCTGGCTCAACTGCGTGACTGTAACCTGCCCAAACCAAAAAAGGACCTCGTAATGTGACTGGCAAGCCTGCTTCATTTCCTCCTTGTATCAGCTTCCACATCACTGCATCCAGTTCAGCACCGCTGAATATGTTTACCTTGAACAACTTATTTGTAAATACTCTTGACAGAATATTTTATTTTCCAACAACCTAATATAGTGGAATGAAATGAATGGGCCTTTGGGAAATACACGTGGAATTTCTGAAAATTTCTTTCACTAGGATGCTTTAGAACATCTCTAAGAAACACAGCTCACAATAAAGAATATAAAATGTAATTAAATAGCTCAGGATGTTTTTTAAATGTCTGATTATTCAAAACAGGAAGCAGCTGTATGGTTATGAAATGTAAGCAAACCTTTATACATTAAAAAAATGTCCAATAGTCAGGAAAACCCTATTAGCATTTTCTTTTCAAGAGATCCAAACATTAAATATTTTTCCCCAAGTAAGAAGTGGCTTATGCTACTAGTATTTTGTCATAGTAATTAAGGCCTTCTGACGGTTTAAAAGATTTTTCACTCACAAGTAAAAGCAAAATAAAAGTGATCAAGCACAGTATATATCACTAAAACCCTAATTCACTGATAATGATATAGCAAATTCTTCTTGAGCTACAAAGCCAGACAGCTTCAAGTTTCAGCGATGGATAGGGTCTTCCTCGTCAAAATTCTTCCAGACTTTAGAGTGGTATATCCAGTCCTTTTCTAAACTGGCATGCTCATTTACTGCTCTTTTCTCTCCTCAATCACAGCATTGTTGTTGATGCACTCTGCAACTATTTGTATTTAAAATTACTTGTTTTTCAGTCCACTAACCAGCCTTAAAATGCAAATTTACTACTTTGTCTATCAGGCTTTGAAAGAAGATTTTTGAAGGCTCTCATATGTGGAATACCAAAACACCTTAAGTACAGCCTTTTTCCCTGCTAAAATTCAATACCTTTTCCCAAAATAATTAAGAAGTCATTAGAAAGATCAGTTCTTAATACCTGTTGAAGAGAGCTCTGGATATCCAACATGAATGACTTTATAATTTTAACACTCTGAAGCTATTATATACATTATTTAATTTATTATTCAAAACATATTTTTCATAAATAAGCATCACTGCTAGAGCAAAATAAAGATTAAAGACTTTGTATAAATCCAAATATTTACTAGCAGCAGCGCAACCGTTCTCCACACGAATTACATGCAGAAGGGCTTACTTTCTCCTCCGTAGCTTCAGGCCCCCCATGACGGGCTCACCCGAGTTGCTGCCATTTACTTTTCCACCTGCCTCGTGGCAGACCCCAGCCCCGGGCGCCGCCCGCGGAGACCCGCGACCACGCGTGCCCCCGAATCTCGCTACACTCGGATGAAGAAAAGCGGAGGAGAAGAGGACGCGGAGGCGGCAGGGACGCACAGACGTTCCCCAGCGACTGAGGCAGTTAGCATCCATACTCACATGCGAACAAAGAGCGACTGTTTTGCTGCCAGGCCGGGAGAAGAGTACTTTTCCACCAGCGCCAGAGTGCTGAAGCCAAACTTGTGAATGGGCTCGTTGGAATCCAAGGGCGGAAAATCTGTGTCGACCTCACCGTCATCCTCAGCAATATGGAGACAGTAGGCATTGACGTTGTCGCTGAAACAAAGACGAGACAAGTTCGTTCAGGAGGGAAGCTAGACAACCGATTCAAGCTAGTTCAGCCCATCAATACTGGTTGCTAAACACTGTAGACAACAAATCAGACAGGCCTGTTACAGCAGTAATATACTTCAAAGCCGCTGATGGCATGTATATAAATATATCCCAACAAAGTCCCAACGTACCTTGCTACCATAACCATGTGGTAACAGAAAAAACCCCCAAACCTCAGAGTAAAGCAGCGAGTCTTACTTCATCGTTAACTGAACTGTAAGCAAAAGACTGACAGTGATTAAAATACACCAAAGCCTACATAAAAGCTCTGTGACTTCACAAAACTGGAAGCAGTATTTCTCGATTTGTGAAAATGTATTTATTTATATGACGATTAAGCTTTAGAACTAAAGACAAACAAGCAGTGTCTATCTATTTTCTTCATAGATCAAGCGACTGTGGAAAAGTTTACTGAAAGTACACTTGCGAAGCTGAGAAGGCTCTTGGGCAGGTAAAGAGGGTAACAAACTACAGGAAGAGTCAAAAAATCTGTTCAACATAGTAGGAACAAGTAGTAGAAAAGCTACCTTTCCTAAATATCTAAGAAGTCAAATCACTAAAAACATTTACAAATTAACAGAGACTAACAAGCAGAACTAAGTAACACAAAAAGCTTTAAACAGATACAGTGGGAAGAAAATACGAAAGAAAAAAAAAAATCTATGCCCCCTTCTTTACACAAACAAAACCCCACAGGGAAACAACTATCTATATATACCACACAGAGTATTGATCATATATTTCTATTATTAAAATCTATTTCAAATGCTAATATCTAAATTATTGAGCTGAAAATACATATTCTTTCTTACTGTAAATGTTCCAGCACTCAGGCATTTTCCACAGCCAGGAAGTATAGCTTGAATGTTCACATGGCAGTATGTTTCTAAACTCTGCAGTTTAAATTTGGAGTTTTAATTGCATGATTGATGCTTAAATTAATTAATTGCAAAGTGTATGCTAATTGTTTAATTGGTCGCTTGATCTATATAGATCATTTTTTGAATTAAATGAGTTGATTTACAAAGTTTATTGATTAGATGTGACAATGAATTATTTCGCTGACTACCTGATTTGCAATTTTCTCAATTAATTCACAAACCTTTGGTTGCAACTCTGCTTTATTGAGAGCGCTTAGCCCAGGTGATCTATATGCATCTTGTCACAGCTAAGACACTTATTATATAAAACAGGTAATAATGATGCATTACGATTAACGTAAGCTGTAAATTTGCTAACAAAAAGGTAACCCAGCAATGTTTGTCACTATGAATTTTGAAAATTCTGCAATACTATTAATGAAACTTTCATGAGTCTCTGGACTGTTATGAACTGGAACATTGCTGTAGAATTAATTTTTAACTTCTTCAAGAGCACTTAAGTAACTTTTAGGGAAAGTGGTGGAAGGTAGCGCTGGGAAGAGAATTCATACAGCACCAAGGCGCTGTCGATCGGAGCCTACTCAGCCAGGCGGTCGCGTGGTTCGCGTTAGCACCAGGCTTTTTAGGAACAAGCTAGACCGAAAGGCTGTGAATGATACAGATACAGCTGATCCCACTTATGTAATGAGAAATGCCTGGCATGATTTTCAGGTCCTTCTCTTATTCTATTTAGATTTCTACAGACACAGACAGCAAGCTCTGCATGCTCATTCTGTCCAGTTCAACGTAATTCAAAAGGTGCCCCATGCTATGAGGCTTTCCAGTCTGGGCAGTCGCCCCATTCCATCTTCCCACAGCTGTGGTCTGTGCCTTCCACTGCTGATTTCCTAACCCATTCGTTTGACAGAATTCTTCTATGCGCAGCCTGGAGCACGCTTAGAGCTCTGTATAAATAAAGTTAATATTTTCATTTGGTACTTGATGCATTTGCATAATTCTCATTAAAGCCAGAGGAACATACAGCCATGCAGGCAACAGAACAGATTCAGTGCGGGCTCAAAGCAATCCAAGTGCCAAAAAAGGTGGTAGTGACAACAACTTATCTTCCACCAATTATACTGAAAATACACAATGTTGGTTAAACGCCATAAATTAAAGGGGTTACAAATGTCTTCAGACAGAGTGGGTTCCTGAACATTAACACAAATTAAGTCACAATCTGTTGAAAACACAAGTCCAACGCGTAAAACCACTGTGCATTTTGAACCTCCACCAGGATGACACCAAAGTCCTGAACTTTAGGCTTCAAATTACAAGGTGCAAAGTCTTGAGAATCTGAGTTTGCTATGGACAGGATGTAAAAGTTAGGTACAACAACTGACAGATGTGGCAGCGTTCTTAACTTCTAAAAATAGGAAGTTTATTTGAATTTTGCATCTCACTATTAATTATCCCTAGAGGGGATTTTGTTCATTTTTTGCAGGCAGAATCATTACAGCACATATGTCAGGGGTTGGCTAGAGAATGGTCTGGTGGGTTATGACCAAAGTTCATATGAAGAGGCCAGGAATAGGGTTGCTAACACTGGCAGTTGTTCCTCATATCAAGACACTGAAGAGAGACAAATATAATACAATTATAATAAAACAAGGCAGCCTAACTGAATACAAAACATTCCTAAAGCTGTCAACTAGTACTCAGTCATTTCAGACTTTTACATCTACCTTTTAGGAAAAAAAGAATTAGGCAGTAATATATTCTTTTCCTAAAGACAAGGGGTTGTTTCTCTTAATTACAGAGTCTAAGACCTCCTCGTTATTCTCAAACTGTGTTACTAGTAGGTATATTTGTCGTTCTGTATGCATTGTATATCAGATTTGAAGCATTGTCTATTTTAGTGCAATGTCACAATGATCCAGATTTTTTCTTTTTATACTTTGAACCGACTAAATTGGGAACAAACAGCAAATGCAGGATGTGCAACCTACACAAGCTCCTTCCTTGTTTGGAAGTGATGAGAGTTAGTCTACAGTTAAATCAATTCTTGCTACAGGACAGGCAGTCAGCAATGCTAAAAAAAGATGACGGAGACATGAGAAATAATTAAGAACTACACAAGAATCACACTTTTTGTAAACTGGAGGCTCTGCCCCTTCCTCTGAGCATTTCTACCCACATTCTCAGTTGCTGCTGCTAAGACTGTTCTTGGGAACTCATGCCTCCATTATTTATTTTACTATTTCTGTCCTGAGATTTGATTACATTAGACAGCCTCCTTGGTCATGATCACTCTTTGACACATCATAACATCTTATCCTTCACGGCAGACAGTGAAATTCATTTCCTCCCACTGCTGACTTTTGCCGTGGGCAATGATGTTTCATGGAATCTCTCTACTCACAGGCATTGTTCCATTTGGGATGTGCTGTGCTGCTGAAAAATATACATATGTCCAAAGAGATTGACACTAGCGGTATCTTACTTGTTAAAAAATTAGCTAATCATACACAAAGGACATTTTTTTGAACTTTTGATATAACAAACAGAAATTAGTAACAGCAAATGAAATGGCACCATCTGCAAATAATCTTGTATTTCTTCTCTAGTACAAAAAAAGCGCAAATCAAACTGAAGTGTTTAACCTCTGAAACAGCTCATATGTTTGTTGAGAAGAGCTAAGGGAAATCCTATATCCAAGGCAACAATATCCATGAAATTGTTTTCAGGAGGGGCTCTTTTCTGGGTCACCCTGTATCTACTAAACAGAAATCAACTTAATCCTAAAGACGGGCAGTTCAAGCGACCTCTCAGCACCTCCCTTTCCCTCTTACCACTGTGCTATAACAGGAGAGAAGACTACCGAGTCCTCAAACACTTCTGAAGAAAGCTGAAAGAGCAAACTGTAAAATTCAGCACCAAAAAAACCCATTCATCAAATATTCCAGGAACAACAGCAAAGTGAAAATTTGCTCCTATAGAAAAAACCAAACAAAACCGTTAACTGATACCAGCGAGTATCCATTACTAACTCCATAATAAACTATTTTAAATTCTTATTTTACATTCTATGACCCAGCAAAAACTGAAGTATTTTACAGAACTGTTTTAAAAGCAAAGCTGCTCAGATGAGCGGCGTTGAAATACCTATTTTATATACCTTATGTCACCTACCATGATAAAGTAATGGCTCTTACTAAACAGCTCCAGCACAGCAAATCCAATCCATTATTCAGTCACAGAAATTTTAGGGGCAGAACTCTTTCACAATGAAGACATAAGCAATGATTACCAAAGATAGCGAAAAGTCCATTGATGAACTGAAGCTAAAATTTCTGAGGACAACACAGATGCTGCTCTTTACAGCAAAGAGCCAATGTGACTGAGGTCGAAGCCTTGTAGAAATTATAAATACTGCATGACAGAAGTTTTTGAACTAAAGAATGGAATTTTATTCACAATTTCAAACAAAACTGGTATTTATTTTGTTTTCAGGATCCTTATTCGCATATCTTTATTTTAGTGCTATCTCCAGGATGATAACCTGGAAAGAAAAGCACCTTTAGCCTTATACCTGTCAATTCTAGAAAAACAGAAATATTTTAACGTGTATAATGCACTGAAGTCATTAAGTCAGCAAAACGCCAGCAGAAAGCAAGTAAGTGATACTGCTGATTCTATGACAGAATTCCGACTTGTTTTCAGGCATACTCACTATGGCTAAATCCAGTCTATGGTTTCAGGAGGACACTAACAGTACTGTCAAGACACACTGTCACCCAGTACAGCGATTCCTCTCTCTGCATCTGCAGGAGGAAATGGTACTATGCAGACAAAACAGAGGCAGAATCTGTGTACCTTCTCTCGGAACAAAGAAGAGAGGGAGTTACAGATGAGTTCTGGATTTTATTTGACATCCTTGTGATCTTATCCAGTAAGAACACTACCAAAAAATAGATGGGACAAAATAAAAAATGTCTCCATGACACCAAAAGAGATAAGATTTATATTATTTTTACATGGAGTGTTTTGCAATTATGATTCATTTACAGATCCATAGTTTCATATGCTTATCATTATACAGTACCTGGTAGTTTAATTGAAAGAGAAATGGATATAGATGCACGTGTATTGCTGAAAAGGAAATACTGATAAACGCGTAGGTGGTTTCTCTTAAGATTTACTTATAAAAACAGTGACAAGGAAATCCACTTCATTATGCAAAAAGGCTGCAGAGGAGAAAATTAGAGATCAAGAGGTAGTAAAGAAAGAACATTACTTCAGTTTTGGTTCCCGTCCCTCACTTGTATATTGCCAGCATATTAGTCCAATCAGGTCATGCACCTTGGCATTCGCTATCGTCACAACTGTCATGGGCTGTAGTTTGTCTTGGCTTGTGTGCAGTGGGAGGTAGACATCAATTTTTTTGGTTGCCGTTGTACCAACATGACCCTGTCGAGAAAATATATTTCATTAGAATGGATAAAAGAAAAGGTATGACAGAGCTGAAACAAAATCTGGTATGGATGGAATTCTTTTCAGTAGAAAGATTAAAATATACTGCTACAGCTTAAAATTAGAAAAAGCTTGAACTTCTTTTTACTACTCTTTAATGTATCTGTAAAAATGATATGAAATATTGGCAACAATTTCACAGATTTCCGTAAGAAGTCTGAACTTACTGCAAGATCCCATGTTCTCACAGGATTACCAAAAAAAAAAAAAAAAGATAAAAAGGGTGGGATGGGGGGGAAGAGAGAACTGACAAGCCTGCCTAAAACTTCAAAACCATTTTTCCATCACCATTTAATACTAGCATTACCCGTGTTTCTACATTTCTGCTTTCTTCTGCAGTTCATTCCCACCACTGGAAAAGTTCACCTCCCTCACGTGCAGAACCACCAGCTCACCGCGCTCACCCCTACGGCTAGCACTGCCTCTCTGTGCCCGGCCACAGGCGAGGCATCTTCCGCGGCAGTACCGCGGCAGCCCGTCTCGCCCCTAGTTACTCCAGCTCTGGAGCACGCCGGGATTGCCGACGCTACCTGCTTTTCAATGTTCTAGTTCCCCCCAGCTTCAGTCTGGGACTCCTCTCATCGTCCTCCTTTCCGCTTCGCCCGCCTTCCCCGGCTGCGATACCAGAAGCGAAGGAGCTCACGCCTGGATGCGCAGCGGGGCAAACGGCAGGGAAACTCGCAGCATACTCAAAAGGGGTGAGCGGAGCCTGGCCAGCACATCCCCACCGAAAGGAGGAAGAGGAAGAGCCTGCTGCAGCTGGCAGTGCTCGACACACATAAACCGGTGAGACCTGAGCTGGACTCGTACCGATGCCAACAGTGCAGAAAGGGTTGCTGAGCTCCGGGCTTAGCCCCCAGTCAGACACCACAGACTGCTCGTCCAAGGGAAACCACCCCAGGTAACACCACCTCCGCAGAGAACGGTGGCCAAAATGAACGTCGCTCTTACACGGAGGTTAAGGTGACATTTAAAAATAAACCTTAGGCTTAACCTTGGTTTGCCAAGAGAAGGACAAAATCACACGTACAGCTGAGCCATTAAACTATTTTGAACTATTTGAAGACAACCAAGAAGGATTAACTAATATTGGTTTTAATCGGAACTTATTAAAAAAAAAAATATCTGGCACTGTGGAGATTAACAATTAAATAAAACATAAAATACACAGCAACATAAAGATCTATAAAGTTTGCATTACAAGAAAAAAAAGTTTAATCTACTGCAGATAGGACTGCATTTTTAAACCAGTAATCTTTTAAACAGACAAAAGATAGTACATCCTGATCCCCTCTTCAAACGCACCCCTGATGTAACTATATATCTCTATACATATACAGGCCCTGAGAGAAGAAAGTATTATTCAAATTAATCACTCAGAATTCTAAGTAACAGAATAAAAGGATTCAATGCTATAAATCTACGATGAGAGTATAAAACAGGGAGTTAAATGCCATGTGCTAATTTCAATATATTGTTAAAAACCATTTGATCCTTCAGTGTGATTATGAATTAGAGAAATAACAGGAATTTAAAGATTAAAGTTATTCATACTAGCATAGCTAAAAGTATTATTAAAATCCATCCAAATATAATGAATTTGTTTTTTAAGAAAGCATTTTTATAGTGCAAATACCTCCTCTTCCCATGTTTTTCAGATAAGAAGAAATTGTTTTTACTCGTTTAAGAGGAAATGTTATATTTGTGACAGAATACGGGACATTCCATCACCTCGTTTGAATAAGCCGTAACAAGCCTTTGGATGAGCTAGTGAGGTGGTGTGCCTGGGATTCTCCGCGATACTGCCCATACCCACCACCCTACCTCTTCGAGGAAATCACTAACACAACAGAACTACAACTGCTAAAAAAATAAGGTTTTTTTTTTGTTTTTTCTTTCTCCTCTTGCTTTCCTACTTACAGGACTCATTTTAAGGGGAATAAAGCTGGTCTCAGGTTATCAATCACCAGTCTCAAAGTCTATCCTTGTCTTTGTCCAGGTGCAAACAGCCACCAGGGGAATGTACGAACAGGCACAAGGCTGTGAGCGTCGCTCACGTTATGGTCATGACCGGAGATACCAGCCAGAACGGGAGACCTGTTGTTTCAACTACATTTGCATTTGAATGAGTAAATCGCAGTTATAAAGGAAATTAATGTGACTCCTTGGCATGCTAAGTTATGCATTTAAATCTAAGGATGGCAGATCGTAAGTAATGCTTAGTCCTGATAATGGAAAATCCAAGAAAAATTGACAACCAGATGTGAGAGTTGATGCCAACGTTACAACTGATATACACAGCATAAAACCAGAGAACGGACAAACGTGCCAAGAGCTGTAACTAATAACCAAAAAGACCAGATTATTCCATTAGCCACTACTCCAAGTACAGACTGTTTTATAAGATCATAATCCAATAAACACATGTATTCATAAAAGAAACACATCCTAGAGACCCTGATCTTACAGCTATCACAAGAAAGATGGTAACTTCCATGGTACGACCTTTTCACAGGTCTTTGCCCTACACTGTGCTGTTGCTTTGTGTTCGTTGTTTTTAACTGAAGTTTCTTTGTTCTTCCCCATCTCTAAATCTCCTCTACCTCCTCCAGTCTACTTTTACCATCTTGCTTGTCCCAACTCCCTCCATTAGGAGTATCTTTGTTCTCTTACTCACAAGCACTCAGCATGAACATCAAGATGACAGGCAACTTAAACCAGCAGTAATTCGTACACGTATTAGGATTCCAACTGCTCTTTGAGCAAGGGGATCAATATCAACCGTAGCAGTACTAGGGAAATGGCTCAAAAGCATCACTATTACACTCAAGATCTTTAAAAAAAAAAGTGAGTGAAATATTTTTATTAATTAAAAGTGCTGTAAAACTGACTGCCATAAGATATGAGAGAGGCTGAAACCTGAGAGTTGGAAGTCAATTATACTTTCTATTAGTAATGGAAACATTCACTGTCATGTTAGGCAGGAAACATCAGTATGGCCTATGAACACATGGGTCTAAACTTAGACTGATGAATCACCAAGTCAAAGGGGCCTGGAGGAAATCTCCATTGTGTTTATTGCAAATTGATGGTATTTGTTCACAACCAGCATTAGGAACCCAAAACACCAGGTACCTGTCCACAGGACGGAATGAATCCATATTCTTACTCTGATCCTGCAAAATACTAATTGTGTAGGAAGTCCCACAGAGCTCAATTACTTACCTGGGCAAAGCTTATTAGGTAAGGATTTGTAGGTGGTGGGACTGAATAAAAGGGATCCACTTATTAGTCTCAGTGGCCAAGAGTCAAAGACCTCGCCACGCTGGGTTTAACGAGTAATAACTTGTGGGTTTTATATGGTGCTTGTAATCCCTTCTTCAGGAGGAATCATTCAGAACCAGATTACAGACGCTACTGGAAACGTAATTACTTTTTTCTCCCCACTAAAAATTGTATTCCAACTGTAAATGCTGAGGAGACCCAGAAAATAAAGTACAATTACCTATATTCAAAAAGGCAGCAAACTTTATTAATAGATCCTGTATAAAATTCAATGGGAAATCTATTCAGGGCCAGGGGCCTTACCATTTGGAGTTTCCTTAATAGCCTCCAATAAATCTGGGAAGCATAAAGGGACTGTTAAATTAACATTTTCCTGATCTGTCACCTGTGGCATAGTTAATTTGTCAAAAAATTCTTTTAGCTTGTCACTGGACACTGTATATTCTGACAAATGAAGTCTGGAATAAAATTGACAAAATATCTCGTTAATTTTCTAGGAAATCGCAAATCTGATTCCATTAAGCTTTTATTGTTAGAAATGTTATGTTCTACCAATCCTTTAAGGAAGCGAGGAGTAACTGGACACACAGAAAACATACAATAAATCATAGAAAATTTTCTTAGTATTTTTATTAATGGATTCTCTAAGGGCTACCTCATGCTCTCCTACAGTCTGATCTTATCAAAATTTCCGTTTGCTATTTCTATAGAGTTTTCATCTCACTCAAAGCAAAGACGATGTGTCATCATCTGCAATTCACTGGAGAAGACATGGTGCTGTGCAGTGTACACAGGCTGCAAGAGGCAAAAAACGGGGGATCCTATTTCCCAAATTGTTGCTCATGTGGCGTGCACATAAACAAAACACATGTTTCTGTTTTCTCTAACTCTCTCATCAGAATTCTTGGTGGTTGGCACACAGTAATTCTTTGGCACATTACAACTATCCTTTTCTGTTGCTATTTAAGCACCACACAGAATTAAGTCCGTTATTTAACATTGCTGAAAAGTACAGTCTGCTGAATTCCCAAACTTTCTGCTTTCTATTGCTTGTATTTTAAATTAAGCAGATCAATGTATTTTTATGCACTTTCATAATACGCAGCGGCTGAGTTTAGGAAAGTTATTCCCATTAATAAACAAATTTCTTCTGAAAGAACAACTTGGTATGTAAGACTAGAGCTCCAGTGAATCCATACTTCTTGTGTTGTCTAAAATAAAGACAGGCACAGAACAGCACAGTAATATTTGGGGATATAAAATAACAATAGCTGGGCTAATTACAAGAACTTAAGTAGCACTAACAGTACATACAGATGTTGCTGGTACTTCTAGACACAAGAGTATGAGTAGAGGATATGACAGGCAACTCAGATGATGAATTTTCATGGATTTCCTAGGCTTGCATTTGCGAGTTATGGTATTTAATTATATAAATACTGGTTACCACAATTATGACAGAAAAACTGCATATAGAATGATCTTCATTGGCTACATACAATTTTAGAAATATTGGTATCATTAAATAACGTTATGTAATAAAAATAATGCGCTTTAAATATAAACACAGTGTTAAATTAAAAAAAAAGAAAAATACATATTTAAACTCTATCAATACTTTCAATACAACAAGTCTTTCTAAGATTTAAAAATCAACTTTTAATCAAAGTCCATGAGAACATATATACCTCCCTCCAATACCAGATGATGTATATCTCGACTAGATTACCGTGGGGCTACTAATATTCTTCTAGATCATACAGGAAGTTTGGTGCAGTTCTGTCCCCCCCCCCCCAGGACACCTTACTCCTCAGCAGAGTTCTGAAGTACCGGCATACAGGGAAGCTAATGAAATAGTCATTGAGACGCTGTATCCTTCTCACTTCCGATTTGCTTCACTGCACACCCCAGTAGAAAATTAAAACAAAGTCCATAAAAATTTCTTAGAGAAAAGTGATTAATTTTCAACAATAATAATTTACTGCATCTTCTTGCACAATAGAGTTCCGTGACTAAATGTTATATCACTTTAAGATTAGATGTTCTAATGATATAATGCAAAGATTTTACTGAATCATTATTTAGTGGGAGTCATAAAAACCTCTTAAAATTAATCTTTCATGCACATCTAGCTTATCCAAAGTTAGCATTTAATTAGATGGCCCTGGCACGAATGAGCTTACTACTTTATTTGCTCAATCAGTATATGTCTCTTCAGTAATTATAATTAATTCAAGTCATTGACTCACCTCCCGGCAAACAATGCTAAACATTACAGAAAATGGAAATAAATGCTTTTCCAAATGTAAAGTTTTTTCTCACTTTTCAACTCAGTGAAATGTTTTTTCTTTTAGGTGACAGGGTATTTAATATCCTACGCGATCCAGCAGTTGCCTCCTAAACATAACTTACTCACATATGCATTTAAACAACATATAGAAAATACACGAAGGGGAAAAATTTGAAAAAAGTTAACTCAGCCTTTACAATGCAAACAAGAGGTCTAACAGATTAGAGCACACTTTTATGGCAATACAAAGGGCTATATTTTTCTAAGACAACCATTGAAAAGCATTGTTTTCTAAGCTCTTGACTTAAAAAAAAGAAAAATTTTAAAGCAATTATTTCTTCATCCAAAATAAGTGGGAATAAACCAGTCATATTCACACATAAATGAAACAGCTTTTGAGGGGCTGAGTAGAAAAAGAAGGGTCATTTAAAACAAAAAGTTTTTTTTTTAAAGTTTAGGTGATCAAATAGCTTAAAAGCTTTCAACAAGCATGTGGCAGAAACCCTCATACTGTAGCGCAATATAACGACTCTATTGGCATATGGTTCTGAGCGAACGCACTGGCAGCGAAGCCGGACGACGAGCACATTTATCAGCCTCAGTATCTGAGACCCACACTACCCAGCAGTGACACACGTAGCTGCAACTAGTAGGTTTTGGTGTGGCGAGCAGAACAGCATCTAACGTAATATGATGGTTAAGTGTTTACGACATGGTCTGTTCATTTTATTTGCACGGTACTATAGCAGATCTGGAGAAAATACCCTTTCAGTTGCATATTCTATTAACATTCAGAGGCATAACGCTGAAGTCTCCGTGTTCGTATGAAAATCCAGGGTAGCTGTACCCCTTTTATTTTCCAACGCACCATACTATACCCTACTATGGTGAAATAAGAGTCATACTTATTTCATCAAGTGGTTAAGCCAGTATCAGTATTTTTAATTACTAAAGCCATATGATTACTTTTGTTATTCTTAAGTCATTTATGGAAAATACCACCAGGGACAACTGACCCACCGGCAGCAGGTGACCAGGCTACCTTCGGCACGCCTGCCGTGCTCACGGTCTTTAAAGGAGCTTCCAAGTCGTTCCTTTCTGAGGAGTGGGTTCCCCTTTGTACCGTCCTAGCTTCTGCTGCAGAGTTAGCAGATCACAATGTAAAATTCCATTAACATTGTTACATACTTAATTTATCTTATTCACACAGTCACTATTCATAAAAATTTAACCCAGTAATTTCCTGTTGTACAAAGCATAACAAAGTATGAATATTTAACTACAAGGTAAATAACACACTATTATTTTTTATTCTAAATTGTTGACTTCACTTAGCATGTCTGCTTTGTATAGCACCACACTATTTTTCAATTAAAGGTCCAGATGTTTCAAAGGCTCCAGTAGGCAGCAGCAGTTATGAGAAATGCGTTATCTGCATTGCAATGATCACTACAACATCAGCTCCAGGCTGCATTAACATACTCATGTTTTATTCTAGCCCCCCTCCTAATGTACCAGTTAATTATACAACACACAGCTGAGAAACATAACCTCCAGAGCTGGACAGTTTCCTTCCACGCTGCCACCTGAGCGAATTTTTATATGCACCTCAAAACTGTGATTTACATATATAACCACATAATCAAGTATCTGAAATTACTGCCTGTTCCTTCTTGGCATTCACTCCCACAATCAATAAAACTACGTAAGTCCTGAGCAAAGAATAAGACACATAATTCTTGTAACAGCAGGTTTCAATCATATTAACTTGCATTCATTTATACAACTCTCTTTAAATTAAAAAAATGTTTTACTTAAAAGTGCAATGAATATGACTTCTTGTTACCACTTTTTTCTGACAAATTGTATTTGGGACGGGGGGGAGGAGCCCTGAGTGCGTCCCCTTTGCAGCCCAGGCCTCAGTCCCTTCCATATCAGTCTCGGCATGCGGACAAACGGACCTAGTCCACCTTCAACCCTGTGGTCAAAACGGCATTTCGCCAGGAACGAGGGCACCTCCCGCGAGCCGGCCGGCACGCTCCCTGCCGCACCGCCGCAGCCAGCGCGGGACCCGCGGCTGCCCTTCTCCAGAGGGCTGGACTTCCCGCGGGCTGCGACGGCGCCGAGCTAGCCGTGGAGATTAAACCCTTATCTATCCAGTTCCCACAGTGCTGCTGAAGAATGAAAACATATTCAGATTCATCAAAATACAATTGCTACAGCTGCAACAAAAATGCATTCATTACATGAAACTATCCTTAGCTTCCATGTAGTGGAGAGAAGGAATGGCCTACTTTAGAAGAATTATTTATATTTTACTTAGTAATAAACATTACAATTTAATACTGAGGAACAGAGTTATTCTTTGTAATAACCAAACGCAACAAAAACTTATAATTAAAACTACACCATAAACATTATTTGTACGTTAAGAAATATGCCACGATATATTTTAACGAACAGATGCTATACAAAAGATAAATGTTTTGGGAAATATTCAATCCTTAAACAGATCAGCCTCTAATCCTATGCTTCTGTTGCATAAAGCAGACAGCTTAAGTTCCTCGAGGACATTAGCCAACCTTAGGTGGAACATTTTTAATACATCACCGTGTCACTTTTTAATGTGCCACAATCTATTAACCACATGGCAAACTAACAGGGATTTTTAAAATATGGGTTTTATAGCTTTGTGCTGGTGATTAATTAAATAAATAGCCAGCGTTTCACAAATCATCCCTCTAATTAGTCTAAACCAGACACTTTGCATTCACTGGCATTATTGCCATCTGAAGCTCACAGAAGGGCAGTAGCGTTACGAGGACAAGTCTGTGCACTCCGGAGCGCATCGGCACCGCGCAGCCCGGGCTGGCACGGCACCGCGCAGCCCCGAGGCAGAGGTACCGTCTTCACAGGTGCTGCAGTCAGCTGGAATTTGACTCCAGCTGCTTGGAAAAGATGTTCTGTGTAATTATTCTCCCTCATCCTGAAGGAAACAATCGAGGTAACAAAGAAAACAGAGCTCTATCTGGAATTTGACCTGAAGTAGCAAAGTTGTATGTTGCAGAAAATGAACAAATATTAAAGGCAGATGCTAGAAAAAATTTACGAGCTAAATGATACATTTTCCATCAAAACATTTAAAAGTTGAAGCTACAACTGATTATATGCAGTCCATTCAAAGAAGCCGAGCAAGGCTTATCATTTAAACGACTCAATTATTCTTTAAAAAAAAAAAAAGAAAAAAAAGAAAAAAAAAAGAGAGAATCATCTGTAAAACCTGCCTGAAATCTCATCATTTCTACTGTGCCTATCAAGATAGATCATTTCCCCCAGAGCTCAAATTAAACTCTTAACAGTTAATATGTTCAAGTTTTACTACAGGTTTTTCTCCAAATTATTAACAACTGGAATTTCCTGTCTAGGATGGTGTTTATATGGAAATATGTTCTGCAGTGTTTAGTGACACTATCACAACAGCTTTTTCCCCCTCAATTTAAAAACCAGAGATGGAAAATGATGCAGCAGTCAGGCTGCTCACGAAGATGGGATTTTATTTCCTCTACCAGGTGATTTCCTTCTCAGCCTCAGTCACTGAACTTGTCCCTTAGACCGAAGTTTCCTGATACTCAGGAAGATATTTGCATTATTTGGCAAGGCTCAAAGAGCAAGTCACAGCCCGCTCAGATGGGGACGTCACTCGGGCCGCCAGGACGCCGTCGGATCC